GACAAGTCATTGTCGATAAAAAAGAAGAACGATACATATATATTCTGTGATAGTACTCATGGCGAAAACTGAATTCCGAAACTGGGTAAGTATGGAATCGCATTGTCAGTTTTATATTTCTTAGAAAATTATGTTTAATTATATACATTGATAATTTAGGGAGGTAGGTTTTCAACTTAAATGACAGTACAATTATAAAATCTATTATCTTTGCGCACATTATAATTTTATATTACAATGTTAAGAAGTCAATTTATAGTGAAATAATCTTTCTGTACTATCTATACTATCTACCACCAACAACGTAGTGGTGGTTTTCTCACTAACTAAGGATTTTCAATAAAAATAATTCTTAAACAATATGTAATTTAAATTAAACATATTAATATTAATTTCCCCTAAAATAAGTTAAGTTTATTGCAAAGTTGTCTCTTGCACTTTTTTTTTAATCTCAGCCGTTTCTTTTTTGCATATATAGTGCAATCTTACGTCAACAACACATTCAATTACTAAATTAAGTAATTCTGTTTTTATAGTTTGATTCGTTACTTTCAGGGAATGCATATTTTTCTTAGTTTTGTTGTAAATAGGTACTCATAATACATATAAAACACCCAGACCGATACAAACCTATACCTATTTTCATGCAACGGTTTTGTAATCGAGAACTCGATGGTTTTTTGATTGTTCAACTTTTGGTAAAAAAAAAACTGCAATAGTTCACTATCTATGTGCTGCATTAGAACATCGAATATTTGGCCTTCTATTTTTGAATGACTGCCATGTTGGCGTGGCTTAAGTCAGAAACGAAATTCAGTTGTTTTATTGAAAATATTGGGTTGGCACAAAAGTAATGAGACACACTAGAAAAATCTATAACATTTCCTTTTTAAAATCAATTTTTTCGATAATATTCTAGAATGTTGTAGAACATTCTAGGTACTTGTACTGGCTACGGCTGACAATATCAACAATGCATTAGGCGCTGGAAGTACAAGCCATGCGACGGTGTCCCAATGGTTTGACCGTTTTAAATCAGGAGACAGGAGCCTTGAAAGTCAGCCACGCTCAGGGCGACCACCCGCAGTGAATGATGACGATTTGCGCCGCGAACTGCAGTTGAATCCGGATGCTACCACTCGTGAATTAGCGGAAGCACTTAAATGCAGTCACCACGCCGTGGAACACAATCTGCATGAGCTTGGTTATCGAAAAGTTTTGACTCGGTGGATACCGCACATCCTTACAGACGCCAGTCGTGCAGTCCGTGTCGTTATCTGTCAGTCACTTTTGCTGCGACCCCGACGTAAAGAGTTTTTGTCAGATCTGGTTATTTGAGATGAATCATGGATTTATTACAAGAACGATACACGTCGTGCTTTTTGGCTGCCTCGAGAAGAAACGCCGCCAACTCAACCGAAGCCGAGTCAAAAGAACCGCCGAAAAATTCTGCTTTGCTGTTTCTGGGATGCGCAAGGCATACTGTTTTATGAGCTACTAGTGGACGCCCGCGACTTCGTCCGCGTGGAAGTCGGTATCCCGTGGGAGTGAGAAGTTTTCCCAGTAAAAAGTACCCTATGTGTTATTCTGATGTATAACCTATATTGCTGTAAAGTTTTATCCAAATCCGTCCAGTAGTTTTTTCGTGAAAGAGTAACAAACATCCATACATCCATACTTACAAACTTTCGCCTTTATAATATTAATAGGATTACACAATGAAACTATAAACGTTGACAAATATTCAACCCAGCTTACCAAATTATCTGCCGCTATCAAGAAAAAACGACGAAGACGAGTCAATGTAGTTTTACTGCACGATAACGCTCGACCTCACGTCGCATCTGTGGTTCGCCGGCAGTTGGAGAACTTGGGCTGGGAGACAATACCCCACCCACCTTATTCCCCAGACTTTGCCCCATCAGACTATCATTTGTTTAGAGCCCTGAAACAGCATTTGCGGGGTAAACAATTTAATGATTTCTCTGACGTAGAGGCGGAGTTGAACAACTTTTTCGAGGCACAGCCATCAGAGTTCTGGGCAAAAGGCATCCAAACTTTGCCGGATCGTTGACAAGAAGTCTTAGATACTAATGGTAATTACATCATTGACTAAACTTTTTTTATTGTAATAATAATAAAAAAGTAAAAACTTAAACCAAGTGTCTCATTACTTTTGTGCCAACCCGATACTTTGATTATTACTGTCATTGTAAAATCACATTTACAATCCATAACTATGATATTACAACAGATACATTTTTATTCTGATAGTTATATTTGCAGTTTTAATATGCACTCTGACATCGTAACATGTCCGAAAGTTGGCGGCGTCACAAACTAAATCAAAATAAGACCGCATTTTGAAGTGAGGCGTTATATCTTCGGCCATCTTTGAGAATCTGACCAGACATCTAGTTATATTGTTGATCGAAGATTCCATCATAACTTTTGAAGGACTTAACGGAAATGCATTTATAGGATATGATTTTTGTGTATAGAAACTTTACATCATTCCGAGTGGCACTGGTTATATATTTATAAATCAGAGATGTGGAAGAAGGGCCGTCTTTGAAAAAAAATACTGAAAAATTTCAAAATATGCTTTTAATAGGGGTGTAGACATTTTTTGATTATTTTTATTTTACATGAAATAATATCTAAAAATTATCATTCATATAATAGGTTTAAATCGACAAACAAATTTCATTTTCAAAATTTTCCGCGAAAACACCACTTCTGTTGAATTCTCCAAGTTTTGATATAAGTAAAAAGGGCGTGACGTAACGAGCATAAAATATATATATTTTTATGATTGATGTAAGAAATATTAATATAGTGCATTAAAATACACTGTATTAATATTGCTAAATATAAAGTATTAAACACTACCAGAAAAAAAGTATTGAGTACATAATTCACTGCTTACTAAAAGCAATAAAATAAATATTTTTAAGTTATATTATGACAGTCGTGTTAAATAATTTATCGTTAATAGTGTCCAGGCCACATCTTACCATTCATCATTTGCTTACATACTCTTGTTGCGAACCATAAAGTTAAATTTGACTTTATGCTTATTGTTAGGCTTATGATAAGAGGACAGGTAGCCCTCTACCTGAATAATTAATGAAACTAAGAGTCGCTACACTTTGCTACGATGTAAATACATTAAAAAAAAAGAACACATGGGGATTTTATAATAAAAAGTTTTACTCGAGAAATAATTATTCTTATTGTAATTTTGAATTTTATATGAAAATTTGTTATCACTTCCAATTATTTTGTTAAAAAAGCAAAACTACTGATTCGATTTCTATAAAAAAATGCAACCGACTTCAAATTTCAAAAAATAATACTTATCTTAAAAATGGTTAATTTTCTTTTTTTTTTTAAGTTTTATGCATTTTAGTGATATTTTGAGTTTTAAGGTAAAAAAAAACATCTTGGATACTTAATGCAAATTTAAGACCAATATGGTTTTCTCATAGATGCCATTTCCAGATCTGGACCAAATTAAAATAGGGCCACACGGCAAGCACTAGCTTTCAAATAAAGAAAGAATCATCAAAATCAGTCCACCCTGTAATAAGTTTTGAGGTAACAAATATCACGCATACTGAATGCAAATTTAAGACTAATATGGTTTTCTCATACATGCAATTGCCAGATCTGGACCAAATTAAAATGGGGCCACACGGCAAGCACTAACTTGCAAATAAAGAAAGACTCATCAAAATCAGTCCACCCTGTAATAAGTTTTGAGGTAACAAATATCACGCATACTGAATGCAAATTTAAGACCAATATAGTTTTCCCATACATGCCATTGCCAGATCTGTGCTGCGATTCTGTAGAAATCCAGACCCGAATTCGAATACACTCGTGTCCGATTAACGTCATTTACTCAAGAAATTCTATTGATTCCAATTTTGAAAATCATTCGCTCAATGCATACTCGTCAAAAATATAAATTTCTTTTCGTTTTTGGTCTGTAATGCCTGGAATACACATGCTACAATTGTTAATTAAAGAGCACAATTGCTTGCTGTTGCATAGTATGCTCTACGAGTGTCTACATTCGCTCATGAAACCACAGACGTCGGTAGCATACTTATTAAGAATTTGCTTCTTTCTAGCGCATCTGAGATACACATGCTCATAAAATCCTTTAAAATAAATCAAATTTAGTAATATTAGCATGATTTTTTTTTTATTTTAATACTTATTAGTTCATTTGTTCTAATACGCTTTGGTATGCCTCGAAATTTTGTTTTATATTGTGGTGAGCGCACATTCCTTAAACATTAGTAATAACAAGAAAGAAATTTAAAGTTAGATCATCGATCCATCATGAACTACTTATGCAAACAAAATCAAATAGCAAAATACTTGCTTTAATACTTGCACAACGTGTGCATTTAGCACCGAAAAAGATCACAATCATTATCTTTTTGTATACACGTGTTAATTTTCTGCTACTAAGTAGCATCTGCTCGAAACTACCAACCATGCTTATGAGTTACTGAGTAGTATGTGTATTTCGGCCTATAAAAATCGCGTATTTTTTGCAAGTCACTAAAAATAGCAAAAATATTTTTTTTAAGATTTTGAAGTCTGTTTAATCTTAAAGAATTTAAATCAACTGTGCTATTTCTTGTTTTTGTCATTTGCCGTTTTTAAGTAACAAACAAGTAAATTATCTGAAGAACATTATTAAAAAGTTATTAAGCATTAGTTCATTTGTTGATTAACGTATAATTGATCAATTTTATAAGTAAATCTGTTAATAATAAGGCTGTTAGTTTGTTACCACAAGTCTCGGGAACGGGACGCTTAAGAATAATTTATTTAATTAAAATTTATTCAACATCTACATACATTGGTATAGGCGCTATGGTTTTGGTGAGTGGTTCGTGTTTAAGAGTACAGTTTAATGTGGCATGATGAGGAGGACGTCTTTCTTGAGTGCTGTATTAAATATCGGTGGCGTGTTTCAGGAATATGAGTTCCTAGACTTATCAGATGTGAAAGAAGCGGAGCTGAGTAGCCTGCAGTGCGCGTTGTACGACCGCAAAACTGAAGCAGCGGCGGCCACAGGCATCTTCGGTCGGGCCGAATCTGCCATAGGTAAGAACAGATCGAATCTTTTATGAATAATACATTAACTACCTTATATTAGTTGTTTCGGATACTCCATAATATGGGAGGAGCTCTATAGTTATTCATCTTGGAATCTGAGCAATGTATGTGATGTTGTCTAATATTTATTAAAATTTATTATTATTATAATATCTATATGAAAATGCTAGTATTAACAGTTAATATCACTACTAATTTTCGACCATATTCAAATACATAAATAATTTTCTTACCAGTATATTTATTATTAGTATTATAATAGGTTATATACCTAATCCAATCATTCATTTGATATTATTTTCTATTATTTAACTGACACGAATTTTAGTTGTTAGAATATATTACCTACTTTTTATATTATTTGTAGTTAATTATACGAGGGTGGATTGAAAAGTTCGCGGCCTCACCAAGAAAACAATATAAAATATAAGCAAAAGTAATTTTTTTTCCACGTTATCTCCACTTAACTCTATGCACTTCTTCCATCTGGTTTCCAACGCCTGTATGCCAGTCATAAAAAAAATTTCTTCAAGGTCTTCAAAAGTCACCCACCGCAGCTTCGACCTCCTCATTTGATGAAAATTTTTGACCTCCAAGGTGTTTTTTTTTAGGTTTGGGAATAAATGAAAGTCTGAAGGTTCCAAATCAGGGGAATAGGCGGGATGGGGCAGTAATTCAAAGCCAAAATCACGAATTTGAGCCAAAGATTCAACAGACGTGTGAACGCGTGAATTATCCTGATGGAACAACACTTTCTTGCTGAGTAATCCTGGCTTTTTCTCTTTGATTGTTTCGCGCAAGCGACGTAAGAGGGTGCAGTAATAAGCCTAGTTTATAGTTTCACCTTTTGCAAGGTATTCCACCATGATGACACCTTTAGCATTTCAAAAAATTGACGCCATCACCTTGCCAGCTGACAAAATTGTTTTGGCTTTTTTTGGAGTCGGTTCATCACGTTTTTTCCACTGCTTGGATTGCTGTTTTGACTCTGGGGTGTAGTGGTGTACCCAAGTTTCATCCATTGTTACAAATCTGGATAAAAAATATTGTGGATAGCCTCAAACATTTCCAAACAGTCGCGAGAAATCGTGAGGCGTATTCGTTTTTGTTCGCCTGAAAGCAATCTGGGTACCCACCGCGCAGAAACCTTAAAAAACCCAAGTTCATTGACTTTGATGTTATGTGTTCGTTCATACGACATGCCAATATTGTCTGCAATCTCCCTGATGGTCAATCCCCGATCTGTCAATATCAGATCACAGATTTTCCCGATGTTTTCTTCAGTCGTAGACGTCATAGGCCGGCCAGAGCGAGGGTCATCTTCAATACTCTCTCGTCCGCGTTTAAATTCAGCGATCCACTTTTTTACAATCGTATACGACGGAGCAGATTCGCCCAATGTTGTTGATATATCTTCGTGAATCTCTTTTGGAGTTAGTTTTTTTTTAAACAGGTATTTGATGACCACACGTTGATCAATTTTCTCCATTCTTTAAAAATGCTGCACAAAGGCTCACAAAATTCAGTCTAATTTAAATACAGCTAATGTTATTGCGCTAGAATTTTACAATTTGACAACCAGAGAATAAACTTATCGAATGAGGTCAGTTACATTAAAATAGTTCAGGCCGCAAACTTTTCAATCCACCCTCGTATACACGCATATTAAGTGTACATATTGGGCGTTTGAAAAGTGTTTTGAAAACCTAGTCTTCTAGCTAAGAGCGCAAAACGCGCGTTAGATGTACGGACGTTAGCCGCGCAATCAAATATATGTCACCATTTTAGTGTACATTTAACCGCGCGCTGTCGTGTCGTCATGAGTATTTGCCAGTTTTGTTTATAGAGGAAATACAAAAGCCGTTTGGGATATGGAGAATAGGCTTGTGTCCTACAAGTGAAAATACAGGTTTTTGTTATATCTTCGAAAAATATGAACCATTTTAACTTATAAATGTATAACAAAAGAAACTTTAAGTCACTGATTTGGAAAATATTACGCTTTGAAAGCTTGAAAAAAGTAGAGAAAATCTACTACAAAAATTTGCTAAAATACATAAGGCATTAAATTAGATATAAAAAATGTTACAACTTTCATTATAACAGCTATAAACATAAACGCACAAATAATAAAGATATTACAAAAATGTTCCAGACGCCCTTACATTTTTCGCTACTGTAGCACCATGTGACGTCACTGAGTGCCTCGAATTTGTAGGTAGCGTTTTCGGCCAACTAGCAGCAGTTCTACAAACACAGCACCGTATCTCCGAAACTATTAATCGCAGACATGCTGTTACTTCGACATTATTTCTCAGATGTTAATGGACTATTTATTTATGAAATAAAAAAAAGTTGTCAACTAGCCTATTCTATTATCTTTCTGATATAAGTCATCAGAAACCTTTTGATTGTTGACTTAGTTTTGGACACAATATGGCAACAATTTCATGTATCACTTTGTCTTACACCCGGTTTCTGAATTGAGAATCTGAAGTTGAGCACGTCTCAAACCTTGCTTAAGCCATTTTAAACGTCTGTTAAACAGGTTTTCATTATTGAATTATATTTTTGCAATGATCAGTTGATAGCAATTTGATAAAACTAAGACTTTTTGCCTTTTATGAAACGTCAAAATAATAATCAGTTGAGATTTTTTGCTTTTCTCAATTCGGAAACCGGCTCGTGTTAGAGTCAATATTTTCTTTGACTTTGTCGTCGTCTTTTAGAGCAAAGATTCGAAATTTGCCAGAAGTTTACTCGGTCTGCTATCGCTCGCCGAACGCCGTATTAACCGTTTAATGTACGTTATTCACACGTGTTCAGACGCCGAGCACTTAATGTATACTAGCTTTTAGTCATATATGAGTCGCTTGGTAAATTTTTTGTAATTATTAATAATTCCCTATGTTAATAATATCGTTTCTGAGTTTGTAAGAATATAATTAATATGACCAATGAAATTTTAGATATTTGTGGTCAGCTAGTCGGCTAAATAAATTTAGTCAATGGCGCAAATTCAATCAAAGCCTAACCGTATTATTGAGCTTTAATTAGTAGGCTGCGCCATGACGAAATCAAACTAATTTACAAAACTCAAAAAACAACTCATATTCTATTTGTATATTTTCGTATTTGTATTGATATCTTAGTTTCGAACTTTGTAAATTTCACTTTTAAAATATATTGGTTGAAAGGAACGGAAATTACTATTATTGGTCTATTCATTTCCTGCAAAAATCAACTTTCGCTAGAGTCGCCATCTAGTGAGGTGCTTTTTTTAGTGCTTTCTATTTTTTTATTCTTCCTCATTTGTCTTCTAGATACCTCATCGTGTTCTTCTAGTACCGCGGGACCACCGACCGTGTCGAGCAGTCTGGATAGCCTATCGGGAGGGGAGTGCGACATGGCGCCGCACTCGCCAGTGAGGGGCGCGGGTGCAGGCCCCCCGCATGCGCCTCCACCCCCTTATGTGGCCCCGCCGCCTGCTTACCCGCCCCCGCATCCCCATCAGTGGCCTGTTGCCCCTCCTAATGTATACGTCAGTCAAGTGACCGCTAACGTGAACGTGCACGGTTACATGGGCCAGTATTATCAACCCCAACCCCAATATGTCCCACCACAAGTAGATCGTCCTCGTACTCATCGCAGGGACCGACGCGGCAAACGCGCTCCATCCCCGCCTCCACCGCAGCCGCCGCCGTATTATGTCCAATATCCACAATATTATCCTGCAGCACAGGCACAAGGTGCGCCGTTATACCATCTACCTATGTACCAGCCACTGGTTTACGGTCCGTATGCGTACCCGCCTTATTATCCAGAATATCCGATGCCCGTCGAAGGCGATGCAGGTGAGAAAGGCCCGGAAGAATATCCCCAGGAAGTTGTGATGGAACAGGAAGCGGTGGATGCTTATTACGCTAGTGCCCATTACGCGGGCCCGCCTTATGGACCTCCTGTCGAAGGTGGTGTCGAATACATGCCGCCGATTTACCTCCCTCCCCCGCAACATCCGCCGCCAGTGCCGATTCCGCAACACCCTCAGCCGCCACATCAATCGACACCTCATCAGTTCAATGTGCACGCGAAGAACTTCGTTCAGGGTCAGAGCCAAAATAAAAATTATACTCCGCCGGAAAAGACTCAAGAACAGAAAACTCCTCCGGTAACAGCTACTGCAACTGCAACTACGTTTACTGCTGCTGCTGTGGAATCTCTTCCCGTCAAAGATCTCAAAATATCGACCAAAGGGCCCAGCAGTCCTAAACAATCTGATCGACCTGCTGAAAATTCTCAGACAAAACCGGCGACTTCTCCTAGTGAAAAGGTGACTCCAGCTGTTAAAACTGATGTCTCGAAACAGGGATGGGTCCCTAATGAAGTTAAATCGTCTGAGACTGCTAGCAATCAATCTTCAGCAGTTGCAAAGTCTTTCCCTCCGACAACACCTGCTAATAATAATCAGTCGTCCGCAGCTCCTAAAGTGGCTCCACCTACTGGAAAACCCACGAAGGGTCCAGCCGCTCCCTTCTCTGGTGGCAAACAAGCACCAAAATCGTCTGTACCTCAAACAATTGTTCCAGTGCAACAAGCAGCATCTACACCTAAAGCGCCATTCGGGAATAGGCAAAAACGAGATGGTCCCACCAACCGCTCACCGTCTAACGAAAACGTAGATAGCGGTTCAGAACGATCGGCTCCTGTTGAACATGTGAAGAGGGAGCCTCTCCTTCCTCCCAGCAAAGCACCGATGCCGATTTCTATAACTTTGCACACACAAGGGCAGCCCTTTATAGTGACAAACAAATCACCATTCGGACATTCGAGGAAGGCAGCCGCAGCAGCTCCTGAACCTCCACCGGCGCCACAACCGCCGCCGCCAGCTCCTACAGCTTCAGACTTCCCTCCTCCCCCGACTCCAAGAATTCGAGGGGAGCCAGTACCGCCTCCGGTGATCCAGCCGCAGCCTCAACCGGCTCCCGGAAAATCTTGGGCGAGCTTATTTTCGTCTAAAACTTCAATCGCCGCTCCAGCTCCAGCACAAACTACAACTGTGACTACAGAAGAACCTTCAAGCCCTACGACATCGACGCCGCCAGCGGCTACCAATGTTCAGAAGCCTGTAGCGAAGGTATCACCTTATGATGCGTCGCCTCTACAGGCAGCCGTTGTTGATAAGAGCTCGCCTACGCCTCGACCGGCGACTACTGTGGCGCCCACAGTGTCATACTCTGAGAAGACATCTGTAAATGCTGTAAGCAACGTGACAGCGCCAGCAGCAGCGGCTAAGCCGACACCTTCACAATCCGCTTCTGAAATCCGTGAGGTGCCAATACAGAAAGATCCTGCTTCTGCTCTCTCCGCGCAGCCATCACCATTCAGTGATGACCCCAATTCATATCGAATGGGAGGTAACTACCACTTACATCATATCACTTTTATATATTTTTTTCTGTGCATAGTGAATCTGAGATCTCTTATACATTATTCTTTTGATCTTAATGAATTAATTGAATTGAATAAGAATGGAACTATACAAAGTATATTTTTAATGAATGAATGAATTATCGGTTTTATTTCTATCATCATTTTAAATTAACATAAATTCCATTCCAGAGTTCCTGTCCAAATATCAACTGGATAATAGGCCGGTGTCCCTCTTACCGCGGGGACTAACAAATCGTTCCAACTATTGTTACGTGAACGCAATTCTCCAGGCGTTGATCGCTTGCCCGCCCTTCTACAACATGCTCAAAGCATTGCCGTATCAAACACGCCGTGGAAAATCAAGCACGCCAGTAATTGACTCTATGTAAGTACATATCAGATTTTGAAACATTATTTATAATAGGTAATAGTTTAGAAAGTTCAACTGTAATTAATGAACTGGAACGTTCATTAAATTCGTTCAAAAACAAAGAATTTTCAAGAAATTAATAGTCAAGTTTAATAACTTCATTATTAGACAATGGGATTTGTGTCAATTACTCAAAAGATAAAGTTTGCTTAAATTACGAAACTAGTTGTATGACATTAGTTTTATTGCAATAATTTCGTTAGCAGTTCATACGTCAGTACAGTTTGACGACATTGCGAAACAATTAGTTTCTCATGTGCCGAAATTAGTTTCGTGAAACTAGATTGATCATGCATGACACTAATTTTGTAATTTAAATTCATCTTTAGATAACATGCATATAATTTTCTAAGATATGTGAAGCATCTGATGTCCACTGTAGTAATATCTAATTAATTAATCTAATATTGATATCTTATATTTTCACGAGCACTATCCATAAATGAAACAATTTTTATACGGTTTCATCGCGTTTATATTTAGTTTGATTGACCTTTACAGGTTCCGTGTTACCCAATACTATTGATTACATTCACAATGCAAAAAATATATATTTTATGGCTGAGAAGAATGGCGAAACAAACTCCGCCAAGAAAAAGTGAATTGCTCCCTTTGATTTAATATTTACAGAATGAACTAACTCAATCTTTTGGTTTTGCGATGTGTGATCTGGATTGAGATTTTATATTACTAATTACTAGATTCTAAGCTGGTGGTAGGTATATGCCAACCTTCATCTCTATTAAGACTTCCAAAGTTGGAACTGGTGGTGGATTACAGTAGCCACCGGTAAATAAATAATTCAAATGTATTTTTAAAATAATTTAATTTAATATATGTAAACATTATCATAACATTTTTTTTTATTGTGTGGCCAAAAGAATTGGTTTTTGAAAGTTTCTATACTATTTATTAAAAAGATAATCAATACCTTAGTCTTATGTGAACACGGAACTGTATAGTGGTGCGAAACGTCAATGAAACTAAATACAAACACGATGCAACCGTTTAAAGGTTGTTTCATTCAATTAATGTGATTCTTACAGGCAAGTTAGGTACACATCTACTTTTAGCATTTACACTGTAAGACAATAAAACACACATTTACTAATTAACCGGGACTTCGTCCGCGTCATTTAGTATGTAACCGCGTAACTAGCCTATGAGGTAGTTCCCTGTAGATCAGCGGTCGGCAACCTCTTAGTAAGCAAGGGCCACAAGGTGGCAAAATAAACTAAAGGCAGGCTGCACTTGTGGTAATAAACCTAAGAAGCCCAATATAATCTATATAGCCCATGATAATTGATCATATCCCAGAGAAAAATGAAAATGCTATTAAAATTTTAAAATTTCAAAACTACAAAGTAACTACTAACAAGTAACTGATTTTATACAAGGAATAATGTCCACATTCTATACAATGATTGATCTGTCATATGCTTTTTTAAAGGTCTCCTCCCTACCATTAGTGACAAATTAAATAAGTTTTTGTATATTTATTTAAACTCAATATAATTGTGAAGGTACTTTAAAAATTGATGCTTTAAAATTAAAGATAACCAAGTCAGCTAATACCCTATCTGTATACCAAATTTCATCTAAATCCGTTCCTTAGTTTCGGCGTGATTGACGGACAAACATCCAAACAAAGAAACTTTTACATTTATAATATTATTAGAATAATATTATCCCTGGTAGATGAGACGAAACGCTGCAAACCATAGATTTTTAATAAACCGTGATTGTACGGTCCGAAAAGCAGTCTAGCAAACTATCTTTGTAGGGTCGGAATCGCATAGGGATAACTTTTTGTAAATATTTATCAGCCTCGCAATTTTTATCCTGACTTTATTTTAAAACTTAATTGCACGATATTAAATAAGTAAGAAATAAGCTACATTTTGAGATATGTCCATCACTAAACGCGTTAGCAAATATTAAGGTCAAAATTGAACATGATTCTTTAAGTGTGATGTTTGACGTTGCATTTGGGATTTCGGGAGGCTATTTCATGTATGTTAGCCGTCATATTTGTAATTGCTATTCTTAGAATAGCTCTCTAATGCTCATCTGTAAGACGAGAAGCGTATTTATTTTTCCTATACTTAATTCACAATTGAAAAACGTTTGTTTGCGTAAATAAGCGCTACCAACAATTGTTATTATCTGCTGAGCAAACCTTCTCTACTCGCCAAAATCAGATGGCAAGCTGCCATACAATTTAATAAGATCATTGATTTCCCTGAAAGAACTTTTGAGAGATTCATTAGATTTGAGATCAATCATGTTCATTTGTAAATGACTTGGTACTTCCTCAATATCACACGAAAAAGGGTGTGCAAAAATCTTCAGTTTGGTTGCAACTTTTTCAAAATCACTAAATCTATAGATGATTAAAAAAAGAAAGCACCAACAAAGCATGTCACTAGATGGCGATTCTATCATAAGTTGATTTTTGCAGAAAACGGATGGACCAAAGGTCCGTTCCCTTTAACTAAAAATTGATATTAGCTAAGTTCGAATCTTAGATACCAATATAAAGATGAAAAAATACAAATAGAATATGAGTTGTTTATTGAGTTTTGATAATTAATTTACTTTTATATATTAAAGAAAACCGGAAAGGGTTGTCTTGGAGAAATCAAGAAAGTACCGTAGCCACATCTAGTTTGATTTTGGGAACAAATTTTTTGTTTTTTAATACTTCCTCATTATTGCGTTAGAACACTATGTTAGTTATGTTCACGAGCAGAGCAAGGCACGTTCTTAAAACGTGATCCACATTGTACGCGGTTCGTTCATGAATTTATTTCGATATTTAAAACTTATGAACAAAACATTCACGGGCCGCAAGTAAGACGTTCACGGGCCACGTTTTGCCGACCGTTGCTGTAGATGAAAGAATTTTCATGATCACAATTAGTTTTTCCTGAAGATTAAGCCCTACAAACATACAAATAAACTTTCTCTTTGTAGTATTAGTATTGATAGTATTGACTAATAGAGTAATAAATAAATGTACAGGTGATGTAAATCAAGATCAATTCTATAGCACTTCAATAATTTTTGATTGAATTCATGATTTCATCAATGTTATTTATTGCCTTGCATATCTTGTCATCATATAAAATATATATTTACACTAATTTTATTATATTAATTTTCTTTTAAAGTCCTGATGATATAATCTAATCAGATAAATTTGCTCTGTTGTTGTCCTTTGATTTGACTCTTTCTAAAAGTCTACAAACTCTAATTAAATGTGGTTGTCACTATTGGATAGGAACTTGTTTAACAAAAATGTAGGACCATGTTGCTGGCTAATGATTGGACATAATGATTTTGTACACAGGGTTGAGCTCTGTTACGAGTTCAGCGCGGCGACAGGTACAGTTCCTGCAGGCAGGGCCCGGGGCCGTGGAGAGGGTGCGGTTAGCGGGGGCCCCGCAGTCCCCGCAGGCCCTCCGCTCGAAGGGGGTGCCGGACTCCGCGTGCTGAGAGCGCTCCGCCCCTTCCCTGGCTCTCAAGAGGGCAGACAAGAGGATGCTGAAGAGTTTTTGGGTTGTCTGCTGAATTCCCTCAATGATGAGATGCTGGAGGTTAGTGACAGCTTTTACTTTGTCTATCTATGTATATCTTTTATCCATATTCTTTGGTGTAGGTAGGTAAAGAGGATACTGTATCTTATTATCAAATTATTTTTGTTTATCAATATATTCTTTTTTATTTTATGGGTCTGTTTTCAGCCTAATTCATTAAATAGTTTTCTAATACTCGATTGATAAAATAATAATAGACCATTCAAAATAATTATTGCTCTAATTTTATAAATAGAGTTTTGCATATATTAAATTTTTGGAGTAATATATTCCATGACCATGTTCTTTACAGCTAATGAAACTCGTGGAACCAGAAGAATCCAAAGACAGCAACGGTCAACAAAATGGCGTCATTCCTCAAGAGCAGGTTCAAGAGGAGGATGACGATGATGATGAATGGAAGGTCAGTGTTTACATAAATCAATATACATATATAGTTTATTTGGTGTAGGCACAAACTTTTGTGAAGGTCGAAAAACAATGCCATTGCTTTGCGAATCTTCAACTAGATATTTTGTAGTAAGAAGAACTTGCATCAAACCCTGTTTTCTTTTGTATCGAGTCATCACACTAAAGAAATGTATATAATTAAAGTTAATTCTAGTTTCTTTTTAATTGGTTTCTGTGGTCATAATTTATAATATTTTGTTTTGCTATATTACTATTATTGATTTGTTATTTAATAGATTCATTTTGCTGTGCAAGTATTATTATACTACATATATTATAATATAGAGGGTATCAACTATAGTTTACTATATAGGGTAATGTAAACTCATAGAACTAAATAGGTAACATCATAAATAACTTTTCAATCCCAACTTTTAATTTTGACACTACCTAATACACATATACTGTTTAAATTATGCGCTTTGACTATATTCGTCAAGCTTTGGAAATCCTAATGTATTTTAAAGAAAGATCTATATAGAGTTGTTATTACATAATTAATCATTTCGCTTAAATTTAGATTAGATCAGCCAATTTAAAAATAAAAGTATACTGTGTTTCTTGCCATCAGCTGATAGCAAAATGAAAACCCCAGATTAAAGAAAATCGAATTAAGATAAATCGGTTGTACTAACTAAATAAGTTTCTGACACCAGTAAGTATAACAGTTTTTTTGATAAAACAAAATTCGTCAATTAATATAAATTTATCAATTAATCACAATTTGATATGACTTCTATACCCGACATTTCAGACTCAGAATCATTACTTTCGCTGCTGGAACCAATGTTTAAAATGAATCTATCTGAATGTTAATTAAACACAGGCTCAAATTTCCGGTACTCATTCACACTTGATAGCATGATCACATACTTTCTTCCATTCGTCGGGTCCTATCATGTAAACTTTTTCTAATATAAGTTCTTTTACCGAGGTCACGGTCATGGCAACATTTTTTTTCGCTACGTGATCCTTTATTTGGGACCAAATATTCTCGATGGGGTTAAAATCAGGATGATATGGTGGTAATCGTAAAACTGAATGTCCATGCTCTTGTAAAATTTTGTCAATGGAAAATACAACCAAACTTTCTTTATGAGTCAATATAATTTTATATAACTTAGGCATTGTTAATGTAGGGTCAAAAGGAATATGGTTCCGCTCCAACCAAGATATCATATCAGGTCGCCGTGTATTAGAATTAGGCGACTTAACCAATAACTGGTTATGGTATGGTGTATTGTCGATTATTAGCACACTGTTTGGAAGTAAATTGGGAATCAGTTAATTGCGGAGCCAATTTTGATATGTGTCTGCGTTTATTGCTTGATGATAATCTCTATCAGAATCCAAACATTTACCTTGTAGTAATGCACCAGGTACAAAACCTTTCTCATTACCTGCATGTATGATAATAATGCGTTCACCTTCCAAATCGGTTGTTTAACCCCTTTTTTATTTTTATCAAGCCAAGACTTGCCTTTTGTGTGAGAATATTTATTATAATATTTTTTCCGGCAGCTCTTAAAGCCTGTATTTTCTTAATATATTAAAGTCTTTTTAGGCGTATAGCAGATTTTTCTGCAAGGACACTTATAGGTATCTGCACATCCTTGGAAACCATAGCGTCCATTAGTTTTATTTTTAAAGACATTACAGTAGGAACTTCCTTAAATCTTAAATGAAAGTCGTATACCATGTTTCTAATCACACTGTAATGAAAACTGTCCAGTTTTAACCTAAAATTCTTCTTTGGCCTTCCTTTCTTAGATGTGTTAAATGCAGACCTACCATTATTTTCTTTGTCCCTTATTAAATTTTGCAGAAATCATCTGGATATGCGGTCTTGAACTTTATTAAAATATCCATTTTCAGACTTTTTAAAAACATTAGCATCTGTTAAAAAGTACAGGTGCACGTTGTATATTATTTCACAGGACTGACTGATTATAGGTATTCCTATTATTAAATTGGTATCCATTCCACAATACCTTGAAAATTATGTAGGAATAAATTAAGTACCTATATTCAAATAAGGCAATTTGGCGTATTACAGCTCTATACAATTCTTAATACTGAAATATTGCGTGCTGTCACTTCCATCACAGTCTGAGGTACTGACGAGTTTTGGCGGCTACCCCCGGTTTCAATAATATACCGACAACCATCGGTAGCAGCTACCGACCGTTTTTTGAGCTACCGACAACCATTCGTTTTTGCGTTTCACAATCATCAGTAGGCGCCTACCAACTACGAACGGTTGTCGGTAGCTCATTTTTTTAAATTGTAATTATATAATTCGAGGAAAAGGGTTCTTTTCATACAACCTTGTCTTAGGTAATATTATGATTATACTGAAATGTTGGTCTTTTAACATTTAATAATTTCTTGGACAAAATCGAAATCGTAAGAAGGAAGACAGAGACATCAATAGGAAAGAGGTGAACTGATTACGTACCGAAACTAAATTTAAAATTTGTTTTGGAATTATTATGACTTATTTATTATATGGTTAGGTTCTTAAAAGTGGTGTTATTGTGAAACAAATTATCGTCTGAAATGGAATTCCGATGTAAACAAAAGAGTTACCTTTACAACAAATAGCTTAAATTTATCTCTTCAAAAGTTTTTAGTAATTATATAACTTTTTTATTTTATTTTTATAACTTTTAAATTATAATTATATAATTTAAAAGTTATAAAATAGGATAGAAATATTTTATGCTGCAGGCAAGAAACAGCGATTCGGAACATTTGGCTCATTGAATCAAACTTTTTTTTAATTAGTATGAATTATCGTAAAAATATTTATAAATAACACGTTTTCCCTTGTCAATTAAAAGAAAAGTAACAGTTTTTCATTAAAAAAATAATATTGTAGAAGAGCTTAATGTGTTTTGTAGTTCAGATCAGAAGAATTTAAGTTGTAATCATGTCAATGTTTGTACCTTAAAGGGCTCTTACTACCAATTAATTATTGGTCCAGATGCTTTTTACAATATGTTTCTTTTGAAAAACATAATGATTTACCTCTATATAATTATGAAAAACCTGGTTCTGACGAAACTGAATTTGCCACCTACTGTACAAGTATTTTATTCGATATTGATTTACAATTTAAAGTACTTAAAATTGAAAAAGTAATGAAATTCTTATAGGCTAATGTCAAGAAATCTTACATTTTTATCCCCACATTGTTATACAAAATTAGTTACACTTGAATGAGAAACCTTCTCTTTCATTGAAGTCGATAAAAAATAAGACTATACATCTTATTTCCATATTATTATTTGCAAAAATAAAATTATAATTAGAACCTCTTGGAAAATGTTTGCAACCCCTAAAATAACATAATTTGTTTATATAAGTTTTTTTTTATCTCGAATTAAATTTCGGAATATAAATAAACGTGTGCAATACACAGTTCATCGAAATGGTACGGTGCATGGTTATGAGAAGTGTTTTGTCAATTTAGTAGGTACAAGAATGCGAACGTGTTACTTTAACATACCTCACCATTTTCTAATATATTTCAATTTTTGCTCAAAAAAAAGCATTTAAAACGTCCAAGTGAACCTCAATGTGAATATTGTCACTCTAGACTAGGTTGTATGTGCTATATCCCTTTGCCTTTAATTATGCCAAAAAGTAAAGTTGATTTATGTTCCGTAGAAGCTTAGCGGGAATTTTATATAGAGTTCACCTTTATTATAAATTGTTAATTGTATAAAGTGATTAGTACTATACATATTGAATTTGCAAGATAACATTAATGAATTTGACAGTGAACAATTGTGATCCATTGACATAGGATGATAAATGAATGGTTATTAGAAAAAGTGGAATAATTGTATCGAATCGTAAAACAAACGTAGAAAAATGCAATGGAATAATGTAAAAATTATGTAGTTTTTGATGAATTGTTTTTTATTTGTAAAATAAATAAGTTATATCCAAATTGGGTTTTATTAAGAATTAAATCAATATCAGTGTTTAATAAAAAATAAAGGGTATAAACTAATGTAACGTGTATAAGTTTGGTACAAGTAGGTGGCAAATTCAGTTTCATCAGAACAAGGTTTTTCATAATTATATAGAGGTAAATCATCAAGTTTATCAACAGAAACATATTATAGAAAGCATCTGGAGCAATGATTAATTGGTAGTATGAGCCCATAAAGGTACAAACGTTGGCATGATTACAACTTAAATTCTTCTAATTGGAACCACAAAACACATCAAACCCTTCTACAATATTATTTTTTTAATGAAAAACTGTTATTTTTCTATTAGTTAACTAGGAAAAACGTGTCATTTATAAATATTTTTTCGATAACCGACGGAAAATGGCCGGTAGGCAAATTTGACAGATAAGCTACGGATAGTAAGTTTGACAGCTCTACCGAAAGATATTAAAACACCTGTTTGCGCCATTTTCATACATTTTGCCTACGAACGGTTATCAGTATCAGTTCAATCCGTTAGTAGCACACCGTCGGTAGCTTTACCTACCAATGGTATGTTATTGAAACACTTTTTTGCTACCATCGGTAGGAAATGCTACGGATGGTAGCAAAAACGGATAGTTTTATGGTTATTGAAACCGGGGGTAAATCGACGATCACTCGTTGGTTTCTTGATCGGTTAAATTCGTAAACACGACATATACCGAGGCGCATAATTTAAATGGTATATGTGTACTTGCAATTATTTTACAAGTTTTTATTGTACTGTCTTGTCAATTAGAGATCTATTATTAGGTAAATTAAATAAAAAGGGAAAGGTTTTTGTGAGATAGCAAAATGTAACAAATTATGAAAAATTTTAGAGATAAATTTTCTGGTTTTAAATCAGGTGATGGGCCCACGCAACCGTGGTGCGGTGGAACGTAGATGGGCGGCGCGTCGTACGCCCGTGGGTGATATATTTAGGGGCAGAACTCGCGTGCGACTCACTCGCGCCCCTCACCATGACGTCACCGACGCTGTGCAGCCATTCTTCACGCTCCAACTGGATATAGAGGTACAATGTTGTGACATAACCAATAAAAATTAAAAGCAATTGTGTAGCGAGACTCGGAATGTGTGCGCTTTTGTAAGTGATTGCTCTTTGTTATAGTGAGCAGCGATGTTTGTTTAAAACTCAGACATGATCTGAGGTTGTTTGATGATGTTGTCAGTTGCTTTAATATAATGATCTAAATAGATATACGACAGCTAGACTGATAAAAGTAACTTGATATTTCGACACTCGACGGAATTAAAACCCATAGGGTAATTTTTTATGCAAATTTATTGTAAATATTTGAAAATCTATACTAATATCCTAAATACCGAACCTATTGGACCGAAGTTATTTTACCAATTGATGTGGGCGAAATTGTGGGATGGGAAAACAGCTTGTTTGCATTAAAATGTACTCTTATAAAGGCAAAATTTATTAAAGCTGCTAGTTCAAAGGAGGAAAAAGGTGCTAAATTCTAGATCTATTAGTAGTCTACAATTTTGCATTGAAACATGTGTTTTTTTTATTCCCTATATATTTTACAATGATGCTAATTATTTTTCGTCTCTGAAAGCGTTTATAAACGCTACTATGTAGACAAAAACTACTGAGTAATTGGACCATTAACTTTTCTTTTCATTTGTCAGTTCCAAGCCATTATTTATAAACTTTTTTTTTCAGCGCGCAACTAGCGTGAAAGACGCTTTAGAGCTCTTAGCTAATAAGGACACGCTGGAAGGAGTGTCTGACGCGTGGCAACAATTATCTTTGGAACAATTGCCAGTTGTTCTTCTGCTGCACCTGAAGTGTTTCCAGTTAGATTCTGAGGGGCATACGGCTAAGATAGTCAAGAACATTGATTATCCTATTGATCTCAAAATTGATCCAAGTAAGTGGTGTGCTTGTTCAGCTAATTGATTATTGATAAATAATTTATTGTTATAAAAAAAGTATTTGAATCAAATCCTGTTACGTTTTGTAGTCATTTTAGTTTGATTGAATAATAATGTACTTTTTCTATTTAAATATAAATGTCATATTAACTTTTAAATTATAAAACTTAATTATTTTTGGATAGTTGCAACTACTTTTTACTCTTACAGTTGTCTATGTAGATTTCAAAAATTAATTCTTGGTGAAATCAATATTTATAGGGGTTACTTAAAAACTATATTTGTTAAAATAAATTAAATCCATTGTTATTTTATGGGCAGAAACAACTATTAATAATGTAACTTGAATTACATCTTAAAAATCATAGGATAATTCCTAATATAAGATTAACGCGAATATCCTAATATAGTGTATTAGGATATATTGCTCTTGTTAATCTTCACAATAATGGTACATATTTTTCGTCTCTTTAATCTTATATAAATGTGGATTGCCTTAGTTTCTTAAAAAAAAAAAATCAATAAAATTTGTGTGTCATAACCAGAGGGCGGAATTAGGTAGAGTTATTTATGTACTTGCATCGAAATGTTGATATTAATGTGGACCTTGCCAGGATTTCTAATGGAGAATCTTGGACATCTTTGCACATCCGATGTCATTGATGTAAGTTTGGCAACGTCGTGCGTGCAGTAGTTTAAATTGTGTAAAAGTAAATAACCTTTTATTTAAAAAATCACGGGATTTTTTCTGCTCTTTAAAATTAATCTCGGGGTTTGAGGCATATCCACTTTCTTCTTTCGCTGTATGAAATCAGTGTAAGTACATGAATATCTCTACCTAATTTCGACCACTGTTCATAACTCATAAGTATTGAGATATGAATTGTGTTATATTTTTACAGAAATAATGTCGTCCAAACTGAAGTATACGTCAAAGCAGCGGGTATACAAATTATTCGCTGTTGTTTACCATGAGGGCGTGGAAGCTGTCAAAGGGCACTACCTCACTGACACTTATCACGGGCAAGTGGGATGGATTCGGTAAATATTTATGGAATTTTCGACTATTATATATTGCTATGTTGGTTTGGCATTTGGAGAGAAAGACAAAAATTAATTTAAAACTGGAAACACTAGAAGCAATAGAAAGCAGAAAGCAGAAGCAAGTATGTGTGTAGAGTAATGAAACTTGGGAGGTGAATTTTGTATTTAAGAACCTTGCCTTGTGAACCTTCAATTCTCTGCCTATCTTGCAAGATATCTTACTAAAAGAAACAGTTATAATACGGTCGCGACGCAGAGAGAATTTCGTATAGTGACCCTGGTCGTTATATTTAATGATTCCAATAACGTATCTCTTTCATTCCTATGCAAACATTGCTATTGAGCTCACACAGATGTATCTAGTCTGTCTTGTTATAGTAGAATGAACCTAAACTGTTTACGATATCTATCAATAGGTATAAAGGTCCACATTTGAAATTCTTTCAATTCGGGGATGGTGCTACAGGATGATAACTATGATGTCATTTATTTTTCGTCTCTGAAAGCTCATGCTTATCTGTGGACAACCATAACTGAGAATAAAACGACATTTTAATTCCATTGCATATGTTGACGATTGCATTAAGAATTTTTTATTTTTACAGATATGACGATTCAACGGTGACTCAAGTGAGCGATGCCCAAGTGTTAAAACCGAAGCCACCACGAATGCCCTATTTACTCATGTATAGGAGACACGACACGTTACCACCACATCGTGCAGCCAGTAAATCCGACACTATGTAGTGTCAATGAACCATACAAACTTGGAAAGTGTTGAATCGGTGCTTGTGACAGAATGTGGTTTAAAATTGTACATAAATGTAATTGACGCTTAGTGTGTAGTAAAATAAAAAGTATTGAGTGAGAAAGGAAGTAAGGATTGTGCAGTGTGATTATAAGTGTATATTTAAGTATTTTAAAGGATTAATATTGGTGGTTTATATTTGATTCTATACTTGTTTTGTGTCTACGAAGCAATTTATTACTAAACTCTTTTTATTACGCCTCTATAGTGTACATGAAGCTTATATATGTAGTATGTATACTAAGATCTAAATATTAATATTTAAATATCAGTTTTTAAAGTACAAAATATGCTACACTTATTTGCTTACACCACTCGCCTTACGAATTGGCTCGAGTCCTTCTCTAAATCAATTGTGTAACACGATAAAATTATTGTAAATAGTGTTTTTAATCAGTTGGAGCTGGTTTATTATGGCTATGAATAAATGTGCATTCATAAAATCTTGAGTTATCAGATTTTGTATCATTAATATTTTTATAACTGAACTGACTTGATCTATGTGCTGTGTTGCTCCAACTTAATGCTTAATGACTAGATTAGTGAGTTCTCTACTGGACAATATGGAATTGTGGATTTATAAACAAAAATGTAAAAAAAAAAATTGTCGTTTTACTATAAGGTTCATGATTCATATCGTTTCTTATGGTGGAGATTTAAAATAAATCTGATTGTAAATACAGATGTTTGATACTTTCAACATGTATGTCTTGTATTTTTATGTAGAAAGTACATTGGTTTGATTACAAAGGTTTGAGACAATGTGTCTCATGAACTGCAACATTTCGTCCTAGAATTATATTATGTAATAGTTGTAATAAAGGGTTTGAATGGATGGTTAGGCTGAGATTTCACTAGAAATTGCCATAGCTAACATTAATGTCCAATTTTCTGATGGCTTTGTTTAATAATGTGTCTCATGGAATGTATAAAATATTTTTTTATGAATAAGCCTGAAGGGGGATCCTGAAGGTGGATTGTAAGCTATAGAATTTTTAGTGAAGCGAAGTCTAGAGATGGTTACAAAGAATTGGTGCTTCGTTGACGGACTAAAAGGCTAGGCGGTGAGCGTAGTGACCTTGTTACTTGTGATATATGCTATGCATGATTAAAAACGACAGTTTGTTAGTTGTAATCACATGTATAATATTATTGTTGTAACCGTTTAAGTGTTAAACATAAATAGATGCTCTATACACATGCTGTTTCTACATTTTGTGGAATATCTGTTTTTAATATTATTCAAATTCGGCTTGAGAACTGTCTCATTTCTGTTAGCAAATTTCTATGCAAAAGGTTGACATAATTACTATACCTGAAATGTTGGTTGTACGAAATTTTACAATATAATTTAATACCCTATATAAATTGCATTATTTGATTGAAATTTGCTCGATGAGAATTTACTGTCTCGAATTGTATGAGCCACATGATCTCATGGTAATGTTGGAAAGGATTGTATGATATTTGATGTAAATATCCTTCCTTTAAAATGATGCAAGGCAATACATCCAATGCCTTATATAACGGTAATTGATGAATATTTTGCTATTTACGAATTCGACCAAAAAATGTGGATATCATTTAAAAGATGCTAATAAAGTAGAAATTTTCTACTAAGGTGTTTATAAAATGCCAACATGTTTTTAATAAGAAGAGATATTATAAAAAATCCACTTAGGTTTAGTGACCAAATGTATTGAATAATATTTTAGTGTTAAAATTAGTCAATTTAACTATTACTGTAATGAAACGAAATAGTTTTAGTTTTGTATGATAATTTATGATAGAATTTATTTACTAACTTTCTAAGTTTTTTTATTTGTATAATTCGGTTGTTGTTGCTACATTAATTTGGAATGAGGGTAGTTATAATAGTGTGTAGTTAGGTGGATCATACTGGCAATAACTATGGATAATTCATGTTGAATAGAAAAATTGGTATATTTCTATTTTTAAATATCTTTAAAAATAATATACATCTGTGAATAACTTGGACATTGATGTCCTATGGCGCTACTATGTAGCTGAAATCGCGATCGATCTGTTAAAATTAACGTCCTTCAGGATCTGTAATACTGACAAATCGACTTTAAACAGATCAATCAACATTGGTCAAGGATTGGATAGACAATCAGTGCTGCATTTTGACAGATCGATCAGGACTCCAGTTACGCTTTAAAGCCGCTGATATTAAATGTGTGTATATATTTTTGTTTTACTTTGTCAATATAAGTATCGATTATATGTCTAATAAAGGTTTTCTGTTACTATAAACTTAATTGTAGCATGGGCAAAAAATAGTGTTCTACTTATCTCGTATTGTTCATAGGATAATAATTATGGACGTATTGATTTTGTGGTAAAATGCCGACGCCTCGACACAATTCATTAATTGTTATTACTGTTGTAGTCGGAAACTCGTGCTGTTTCTTAAAAACCTTAATTTTGTTGGATTTTGAATTCTTTTTTTAGTTTAAATATAAAAATACATACTTTGTAAGAAGAATACATTGTGCTACATTGTATGCATTGATTTCGAAATCAGAATTTTTGCGCCCATTTTGTCAAGTCCCAAGATGTCAAAATATTTATTCTCGCCATAAATTAATTAGGAATCGATTACGAAACAAACGAGGATTGGACTGTTACAGTAATAATACCTGTATGTTATCTCAGCAATGGTTTTCTGGAAAAACTGCTGTAATTGTTACTTATGATTTATAAAAACAGGGAACAGCACAAATTTCTATATTCAATACCAGTGTAAGTTTTTGGAATTTTTTAAAATAAAATTACTGTTAAACATTTAGTTCACTTTGCCTTCAAACAAAGCTAAAATCAATTTGTTTTATTTATTATGAATGCAGACAGTGAACATTATGTTTAATTATTACACACATAAATCTTGTGTTTATTAATGTAGAAAGAGCACACGTAGTAATAAGATTTTTATGTAACAACTGCCTTTTTAATTAAGCATCTGTGTTGTATATTTATTGAAAATAGTTTTATTATGTCGGTAACAAAACTCTTTTGTTAATCGGAACATAACCTACAAATTTTAAATCTATGTTTTCATTACAACACTGTCTATTGAATGTTTCAAAAGTATTACTTGTGTATTCTTTATGTACAATGAGCAAGTCTCCTTGAATAAATTAAACAATATGAATATATATATTCTTTTTAATAGAGCATAAGCCTATTTATGCAGGGTGTTGTTCCGATTGACTATATATTTAGAATAACTTGGCTAACTAGCTAACACTGGCATTTATAACCTTATATTGAATGATCCTATTGCATTTGGCTGTGACATATAGCTATTAGGACATTGACTGTTATAAATGACAGTTAGCACTGATATATAAATGCATTGACTTTTAAATTGAATGTGAATCTTAAAAAAATTATTAGTGCTATTATTTGTATAGCCCAATCGACCCTTAAATTATATATATATAAAAAAAAACCTGTACTCATTGATTTCATCACTCATTTAAAGTAAATTATTTCTTTATATTGTGAAATATAATGGAATTGTTACATTATTATATTAAAGTTAGTTTAAAAAGAGTTTAATCGATTTAGTGAACGTTCCTGATGATAGTTTATAATAGTAAAGAAAAGAATATCTGATCAAAATAGTTGTGAGTTGAATCGAAATAGTTCTAGTTTTTAGTTATTTCAGATTTTATTTCTTTTCATGTTATCAGATAGCAGCTTTTAGATGCACTATTTGTCGTCGCTCAAGTGCCAACTCTTGCTTGAATTCTTATGATCACTAGATATATTATGAAATAAGCATTCGAACGGATTGATTGAGAGTTTAACACGCAGTAGCGCATATCGTGTGTAATACAAAAAATCGAATTCTGCATTCACTTAAAAATTAGTTAGATTGGAATAATGTGGCCTTTTGTTGTTACGAGATATGTTGTCTACTATACCTGAATGTTTAGTGACCATTAAAATAGTTGATGGCCTGTTTACCTTGACAATTTGTTAATATTAATAATTACCAATATTTCTTTCTAAGTTGAAAGATATTTTTTTGCACCTATTTAAATCAATGTTTTATAAAAATTTTATGATTTCCTGTTTTACAGTGACCGATAAAAGTTGTTTAATAGATAAATGCTGTTTATTCAAAGAATAAAAAATAGAATCGTGAGCATTTACACGAAATAAAGTTTCAATAAAATCAAAATTACCTGTGCCAAAAAATTATGAATATCGTGTAGCGTCGTTTATGGATGGCCCCTAACAGTGTATATGGTCTTGTCTTGTTGACATTCCTATTATTTTATCAAAGTCAAAATGCGAAGTTGCACGTGTTTCACTGTAATTAACTTCCTTAAGACATCACCGGAACATTGAAGTGAACTGTGCTTAAAAATATCGTTGTCGTCAGTGTAAATCTGAAAAAGACTCTAAATAGCAAAAAACATTAATCGATGAACCAATAGACTCGGCAATTATCATATTTGATAATAACTAGTAAGTCTAGTAATATTTTTCGAATGGCGATCAATGTTAAATGGAACAGGCGGTCAGTCGTTTTGAGGGTCACAAAATTTGTGAATGTGTTCAGTTGCGCTAACGTCTCATCTACTTATTTTAATATAGTTTGCCTTATTTCAATGCGAATATTAATATAGTCTAAATGCTTTTCAAATCTGAAAAATGCTTATGGTATTTTATTTAATATGAGAGCTTATCACTAAGAATAATTATCACTAAGGATTTAATGAATGTTTAATATTAATAAATCGTAGAGTTTAATGATCGCTCTCTTTTAGCACAATATATTGTTGACTTTATCTTTTTCGGAACTTAATATCAAAAGCTTGTGGAACATTCGGTACTACATTCATGCAGTTAGACACGGAGAAGCAAGCGGGACTTTTTTCATATACTTTGAGTACAATAATGTAGACATTATTCTACAGTATTTTATAGCAAATGGGCTTGGAAGGATGTAAATGTACGTTGCCGCCCATTTTAAGTACCAAGATAATATAAATCTATTGCAATTGTTTAATGACATATATAGGAAGATCAATGGCTGGCGACTTTCAGAGTACTTGGTAAGCAACCGTCACTTAAGTCTGTAACAAATTTCTAGACCACTATAGAATCTTTGAATTACCTTCTAGATAATTTGACATGAGCAAGTGTCGGAGAGCTATCGACTTTGTATTTATATTTGATTAACCCTATAATTAAAAGTAAATCTTGACAAAACACTGATTTGGTTGACTATGTCTATTTATTTATCTTTATACTAGATTTCTCTGGTTTCTTAAAGAATACCTTTATTATGCGTCATTTTAACAAAATTTTGCTATTTTGTATTTGCTACTACTTACTGCTATTTTTATTGGCAAGGCAGTACAATGATATTAAATAGCAGTATGAAAAATATGATAATCTAAAAAAAATCGAACATCGCCTTATGAAGTAATTTTTGCTTGCATGATGTAAGTAAATAATTCCACTAGACGAATAAAGGAATGCAATTTATTTACTGTGTAATAAAACTTCTATAGTGGTTTAGGATTGAAGTTTTAGTGGACTACATTATTGTAACCTATTTTTGTGGTACAATGCCGTTTGACGAGAGTAATCTCTCTAGATAAACCTTTTTTACGTTTCAACAATCTCATCGAATGTAGTAAATCTGTGTTATTTTTATAATATAAATAGTGTGTTAAAACACGCACTAATTAAATTAGATAAATGTATTAAAACTTGTATGGAACGGTTTTCTTTGTGTGAAAATAATATGATTTCTAAGATAATATTTTGGGTAATAGATTATTGCTAACAGTGAATCTTGTTTTGCATCGCAAGTTGTCCCTCTAGTCTGTATTTAAATGTAAACTGGTGCAACGTGAGCCAGTATTTAACCTATATTTTGTCGAATTCACCTTCGAATATATTAAAGAACTCCTATAAAATGATAAATGAAGAATAACCGTAAAAAATAATTCGTCTAATAAAAAAGCTTCAATATCGCAAAATGTGCAATAGTCTACAAAACAAATAACTAGAATTTAGATGAAATGTTAACATTACAAAGACGTCGGCGGTCTATTTACTTAGGTTTTTAGCTATTTATGTAATGTGCATTACATTAATTCTGATTATTATTTTTATATGAGAAGTTCATTATTTAAGTTACAGGTAATTTTAGTGCTAAGACCCAAGGCTGTATTACCAAGGAGTGTTTTTCCTAATGAACACCACTGGATTAATTTCATTTTTTGTTTTTAATATTGCGTAAAGATACTCCTATTGGCCTTAATAAACTATGTTCCGAATAGAAAACATTAAAAATATTAAAAAAAATATACAGAGCTTGGTTTATTAGGGCCAAACATCTAAGTTGTTATGTGAATGTGTGTGTATGACTAATTATAAAATAATCCTTTATTTTGGTAACAAATTGGTGTTATAAATTTTTTGTGAATAAAATATGGTGTCATTCAGATGTTTGCTTTTATTTATTATTGTCTTTGCACCACGTAAATAGTAAGATATCATTAAAAACTAAAGGAAATTATCTCTAATATATCATCTTGGCGCATAATGTCCTTTTCTCAAAATGTCTTTTCTCAGAATGTCCTTTTTCAAAAAGACGGCGGCTATCGCTTACTATCATATAAGGTAATCCGTCTACTCGTCTGCCCCCAATGAAATAAACAAAAGAAACAAAATACTTTTTAGTTAGTCTCTTATTATCATCAAAACTCTTTTGAATATATTTTAATAACATGTATTTAAGAAATACAATACAATTAAGTTGTTTGTTAAAAGTTCAGATGCTTTAGGGATAATGTTATCACCTATACATCAATAGGGATAAATAGTACTTAATATCTAGCTGCGCTATATTTTGGTATGCTTTGGTACTTTTTCATTTTCCTCTTGATTAAAAGTACTTGCTATTTATGATGGCATATAAAATATAGCTATATTAATATAACACAAATACAATGATTAATAGAAAGTTTTAACTACTAATAAAACTTACCTATTATTTTTCCTTAAGATATACGGAATCCATCTTGATCCAAACACTACCTACCCTCTTACTTCCGGCGCCTGTGCTGCCATCCAGTGCCAGTTTTAGCGGGTAACGATTAGCGAACCAATGACTTTGAGGCACAAAACGCTTACCGTCATTATACATGGTGGGCCATGAATTAGTTAACATTTGAAAAAATCGTATAAAAAACCATTTAACATATTTTAGAAATCGTTTATTTACGAGAAAGCTAATTAGTTGTAATTTATTTTTTAAATATTATTTCGTCTAAATGACCACCGTTTCGGTTTTTGAACTCATCTAAGCGAGTCCTGAAGTTTTCAAATACTCTTCTGCAAAGAGACCGCGAGATCGCCGACATCTCTTCAATGATTTTTTCTTTAAGTTGACGCAGTGTATTCGGTTTATCAATGTAGACACGACTCTTTAAATAACCCCATAAAAAGAAGTCTGCTGGGGATAGATCTGGACTTCTGGGTGGCCATGGGATGTCACCACATGTGGATATCAGCTTTTCCGGAAACATGTCTTTGACCACCGGCAAGGACTCGTTCGATGTGTGACACGTGGCTCCATCTTGTTGAAACCATGTGTTACGATTATAGCCAGCAAATTCCAGTAGCATCGGTGCTAAGAACTCCCGTAACATTTTCACATACTCGGCAGAATTAACAGTAACTGAACGGCCTCGAGAATCTTCAAAAAAGTAAGGTCCGATGATTCCTTTTGCTGAAATTGCAGCCCATACAGTTACCTTAGGAGAGTGAAGTGGCCTCTCATGTTTAGCTTTAGGATTTTCGCTGCTCCAATACCTGCAATTCTGTTTGTTTACATGTCTATTTAGGTGGAAATGGGCTTCGTCAGAGAATAAGATGTTGTCAAAATTACTGAATCGAGTTAACATTGTTTCGGCATATGACTTACGCAAATTTAAATCATTAGGATTTAGTTCTTGCACTAGCTGGATCTTATATGGATGTAATTTCAAATCTAATTTCAAAATACGGCGTAATGATGTGCGGGATAATCCTAATTCAGCCGAACGTTTGCGTGTCGATAAACCTGGATCACGTCGAACAGAAGCGGAAACTTGCTGCACGTTCTCTTCGCTCCGAGAAGTCCGCGGGCCGCCGGTTTGTTTCACATTTAGTGTAGATCCCGTCTATTCGAACTTCTTCACCCATTTCTTTATTAAAGGAGCACTTGGACACTGACTTAAGTCGTGTAAACCATATTCAACGCGAAATAAGCGTCTCAAAGTAATGAGCGAAAAGTTGTTTAAATAAAACTGTTTCACGCAGTAAGCGCGTTGCGGCCCCGTGAAGCGATCCATTGCGACTAAATTTCCAAGAAGCGAGCTAGTGCCTCCGCCCGCGCCCGCGCCCCGCGCGGCAATAGTTTGCGCGGTAAGTTACATTTAAATGTTAACGAATTCTTGGCCCACCCTGTACTACTCTAGATGCACCAGGTAGAACTTACCTGGATTCCGGATGTCTTTAGGAAAAATAATAGGTAAGTTTTATTGGTAGTTAAAACTCTCTATTATTTGTTCCGTTCGATATCCGGAATCCATCTTGAGTGATGTGTTTGTTATCTCCTGGTGAGTGCCATTGGTGATGCTATAATGTGTTGCAGATATAAAAAGTCAAATGTAGTCTTATGAGAAAAAATAATGCAAATTATAAGTATGTTATGCTTTAATAGCATAATATATATATAATACATAGTACATATATTATGCTGTTACATAACAATGCAATTATAATAATTATTCCAGTATTACGGTTAGCTAAGCTAAATAAATATTGGCTTATCTGTTATTGGAAATATCATTAATGAATTGAATGGAATAATAAAAATGTAAATAAATAAATAGCGGAATTTTCTTGTTTTCGATAGGACTTCCTAAAAGTATATTCTTGGCGCCAGTTTACCATTCCAGTCGTTTATCAATTGGAGTTCCAGTCAATTTAGAGATGGAACTACAGATGTAATAGACTCTGAAGAATCTTCTAGATTATGTGCCTCTATTTAACATTTCTAAGAACAGAGTCCTCTTATAGTTAATTTGAAAATTATTTCTTTTGGGGGCTCTTTCAATACAAAAATCGATCGCGTGTCTAATATATGCAATCTAATGATTTGTATTAGTAAATAATTTCTTATTACTATACAATAATTTCTTATTAATACGTAGTCGAAGCGCTCTTGACCCTCCATCATTACACCGACGTTAGCAGAATTTCCCTATAATACGCTTTACACTTACTCGATAGTTTCAAGATTGTCTTTCACTTATTTTTTATTTTATTCTGCCCAATTTTTAAATAAATTTTCTTAATTCCGGGGGATGAATACCTGTTGCCATAACTATTGCAGTGTTCGCGGAAACAAATCGCCAGCCAAGACACTTTGTTCCATTTTGGTACAATCATAATGTACTTACATTTTTTTTTATGGGCAGACGAGCAGACGGATCACCTGATGGTAAGCGATTACCGTCGCCCATGGACACCTGCAACACCCGAGGGGCTACAAGCGCGTTGCCGGCCTTTGAGGGACAAATATGATCATAGGGAGGGAGGGTTGAGGGGTAGAGGGAAGGGAATAGGGAGGGGTTGGGCCTCCGGTACCCTCACTCACACGACGAAACACAACGCAAGTGTTGCTTCACGTCGGTTTTCTGTGAGGCCGTGGTATGACTCCGGTCGAGCCGGCCCATTCATGGTGAAGCGTGGCTCTTCCACGATTAAAACTTGCCTTGCCTTGCTCTTACTGGATTCGAGAAAGTATTTGCGGAATTATGTTTGAATGAAGCCAGCTTGTATTTCCACTGATGACGTCATGCGTTATGATCTATTAACTTGCTCGTCCGTCCGTCACATCCATTGTCATGTATCTGGGAATGACGTGAGCTTCACGTTATTTTTATTCAGGCTATGCATAATTTTTGAATCTGCCTTGTTCGTGTCATAATTACAATAATTTCCTATATTTGGTCACCCCATCTTTGTTTATGTACGGGAATCAGTACAGTTCTCTTAGTATTTACATCTAGGCATTCCGCGAAATGAAGACTCGAGTTGAGCACTCGAACATATTTCCTATGCACCTGTCCTCGGATGTTGAGCGATTTGCGTTGCATTTATTGGAAGGTATCATGGTGTTACAGTTACTTACCATTTTAAGTCATTCAGTACTGGGTCTGGTAATCCGAATTGGCAGTAATGGTTTAAATCTTGCGGCAGCTGTCGATGTTAGTATTGCAGTGTGTGACAGTGTAATCACCCTCTTCGAATTACAAACTAGGCAAAGTTTTGTATTATGTTAAGGACCTTAATTTTTTAATAGTAATAATGTAACATATTCAGTAATAATGAGAAACCTACTTAAAATAATTGATTTATTAGTTATTATTTATTTAATAATAAAAAAACACATGGTAACATGAAAAATTTCATACTTGGGATACTAAAAGGTGAATGGATAGACTAAAACTAATTACATTATTTACATGAAAATCTAATACTCAAAATAATTAACATAAAGAAAACAAATCGTAGTAAATATTCAGCTAATTACAGTATTACATACAAAATTAACAACAATTCGCTACACTTAAACTAATTATACGATACAGTTATGAAATAAAAGTATTAACGACAGCATTATCATGTTTATGCTATATTATTACTGGCCTCTTTAAGGAGGCTTTTATACTTATTTAAATTCATATTTGTTTACTTTTTGACGTGGTCAATGTTTCTTCTTGTATCTCATACTTTTGTACGTTGTTCATTAATAAATCTTTTTCTTTGCTAAAAGTTATCTTATTAATTTACATCTACAGTCCATTGCGCTTGCTGTCGATTACAAAAAGTATTTAAAGATCCTGGTGACAAGTTTTATTACTGAACTTATTTACTAAAGCAGTCACAGAATTCTTCGTAACATTATCTGTATCCGCACTTTTACCGGTAATGTTGACTTTAGAGGAATTCAGCCACTGAAAAGCCTCGTCGATATATTTATCGATATCACCGGTATCCATCTCGGTATTGGCAGTGTCATCAAAGGACAACCCTCCATACGATACACTGCGTTCGACGACAGCTTGTTTGACATTCTCCTTTCGTCGTCGCATAGTGCTCGTAACCATGTAGAGATCCTCGATCGATTTGAATATGTCGTCTATCTTATTACATATTAGTTCCACAGATAAGGCTGACAGAATCTGGCCATCGACAACGTAAGATTCTTTCCTGGGCTCATCCACCGTATCAACATGTTGAAGGCCCTGAAGAAACTCTGTGTAATCTAGAAGTGCTGATTTCTCCGAAAACTGGCACCAGACTTGCTCCCTCGCGCTGTCGAATAGAAATGACGATGTACATCGATGTAGCTGCGGCGGCGAAGATGGGATGTCTCCTTATTCACTGTCCCTGTCCAAGTCTATGGGATTGCCCCATGTTTCTTCAAGTATCCTCCATTGGTCAATGGTCGCGAGGATATCGTTGGCGTCGCGAAGAATGAAAGTCATTTTCGTGTCTCAAAGTAGAATGACGGGAGTTAGGCAATGCTTGTTCTTAAATAGTCCTCTAGGCGCGCTGCGCTGTGATTGGTCGGCGGTCACGCGTCTTCATAAGTGTATGTGCTAATGCATGCGCACAATTTTTATTTTTACAATGGCTGTGTAATGTTATGATGAAATTAAAGAATAGTCAGAAAACTCCTTGAAAAATGTGACTGTAAAAATATAATAAAAAATATTCAGTTATTCATTCATTTCGGTTATTATTGTCAGTTTAAAAAATTATTAATCTTAATGTGTAGGCACATACTTATTATGGGTTTTGATAAATCTTCTCAAAAACTAATTGCCAAACTAATTGCTAAAGATAAAATGAAGTTTTTTTTTTTTATATTTATTTATTGAAACCAACAGCTTGTTACAGTTCATACTTACAAACTTATTTATAATAATTTATAAAGCCAATTATAGGTTTCTTGTATACATATTGTGTTTCTTTTTATATGT